GGTTCCTCACGAATCGCTCAATCAAAACGGCGGGGGATTCCCATAGCCGTTCTTCGTGGAAGCGTTTCAAGACCGCCAGCGCTCCGCCCACGATGCTGTCTTCACCGCGTACCGGTGCGGCCAGATAGTCGAACTGCCCGCCCCTCTCGAAGTGCTGGAGCAGGTCAATGTCACTGCAGCCGAAGGCAGGGGAGCGAAGGGCCGCGACGGTGGCTATCCGGTCAACGGGATTGTCAATGGCCCGCAGGCAATTCAACAGATCCCGGACTTCCTGGGTCTCAAATATCAGGGACGCACTTTCCAGCCGGAAGGGAATGTTGGCCGCTTCCAGGCCACGTTCCAGTTCCGGCAGCGAAGTGCGGGAACGAATCAGGATACAGATGTCGGAGTAGCCCACCGGTTTAAAGGATTCCCGTCCGGTGGCATCGGTAGTCTCCCGGTCCAGCTTTTGCCACTGCTGCTCCACTATCTGTCGCAGGAGGCTGGAAATGTCCTCGGCTTCCTGGCGACGGACTCCCGGGATGCCGCCTTCCATTTCTTCGTCGGCCAGGGCCCACACCCGGGGGCCGAAGGGGCCCTCGGCGCTACCCAACCATCGGTAATCCATTGAATCGTAGGCTGCCTGGATATAGGCTTCCTTTCCTTCCTGTGCTTCCGGTCCTTCGTTTTGGTCGTTGCCTTCGTCGCTTCCGGAACCCATCCACTGTTGGAACAGGTGGTTTACCCAGGAAATGATTGGTTCCTGGGAGCGGAAGTTTTGAACCAAATGGACGTTGCGGCCGCCGGCCTCTTCCATTCTTTCCTGGAGCAATCGCATTTGCTCGACGTCGGCGCGGCGGAACCGGTAGATCGATTGCTTGGGGTCCCCCACCACAAATAGCTTGCCTGTTTCGGGCAAGACCTGGCGCCAGGTCCGGGGACGGTCTTCGTCGGCTGTCCCATCCGGTACCGCCTCAGAGAGGAACATGGCAATTTCGGCTGGATGGGGTCAGTGTCCTGTGATTCGTCAATCAGCAGGTGGGAGAAACGCTTGCGAAAGTGGTCTCTGACGTCGAGACGATCGCGCAGCATATCCCGTGCCCAGACCAGCAGGTCGTGAAACTCGGCCCGGCCTTCCAACTTCCGGCGCCGAGCATATTCAAGGACAAATACACGCAGCGATTCCAGGATATGGGCTAACGCGAAGCCCTTGATTTGTTCCATTTCCTGGGCTACAGCCTCGTCTAGTGATGGTAGCAAGTCTTTCAGCGCAGTGCAGGCATTAGTCTTGCTGAGGGGTAGCTGTCCCAATTTCTTTGGCTTCCATTTCTGGTGGAGAACCCTGGCAGTCTGTTCAGCCGTCGGTAATAGGCAAGGGTGCCTGGCTGGGTTTCTTTAAATCCTGCACCGGTAGTCCGAGATTTTAATGTGCTGATACAGTCGGTCCTCTTCGTTTTTGCAAAACCGGCACAGGCCTCCACCTCGGGCCAAAGTTCGTCAAAGGCTTGTGCTGCGGAGCCAACTTCGGGCTTGGTTGACGTGAAATGGACGCCCTCCAAATCGGCGTAGTTGGCATGAAAGTCGAGAGTCAGCTTCCTGAGATGCTCCAGCGTTACGCCAAGCGAAATTGCCAGGGAAAGATGCTCAGCGATGGGCGATTCCTGCTCCAGGACGAGGTCCAGCCATTCGTTCCACTCCTCGTCGAACTTGATGCCAGTGACGACTTCGGCGGAGGTGTCAAAACCGGGAGGCAGACCGGCTTCCAGTGGCCGCTCGTGGAGCAGTTGAGCAGCGAAGGAATGGAGGGTTCGGACTGCGGCCTGGTCCAGGTCGGAAACGCCCTGGCGGCAATGTTCACGCTCCTCGACCGAACGGGATTCATCAACGGCCACCTCTTCCAGCCTTTGGCGCACCCGGTCCCGCAGTTCGGCGGCGGCGGCTTCGGTGAAGGTGATGGCGGCGATGCGATCCAGGGTGGTCCGGCCCGTCGCAACCAGGTTTACCATTCGCTCGACCAGGCTGGAAGTCTTACCCGTGCCGGCACTGGCTTCGACAAAGAGAGTCTCGTCCAGTTGGTGGCGGATGTCCTGGCGTACCGACTCATCTGTGGGCGTGAAAGTGTTGCCAGGGGAAGCGGTGGTTGAAGTTTGTTGGCCCATCAATTACACCTCCCCGTCCAAATCAGTTTGCACGCCATCCTCGGCCAGTTCCCGATACGAGACTACCTTGGGGTCATGCTTCTTGCGTTCCCAAATATCGCCCCGCCGGGCTGGGCAGAGACGGTCAAAGTCACAATACCGACAGTTGGCGAAATTCTCGTTGGAAAAGGGCCCGGGATTGGCCGGGAACACTCCGGCCTGGATGCCGGAAACTATGTGCAACGCTCCTTCCCTGAAGCGCTGGGCAGTATCGTCGTCGCTGATGTCGAAAAAGTCGGGAGGGGCAAACTGAAAGCCTCCTCCTCCTGAAGTGAACCAGTAAGCCGCCTGGAAACGCGAAGCGCCGGGGACTAACTGCTGCGCCGCCAGGGAATAGATGCCCAACTGAAGGTGCTTACCGTGATCTATGGAGTCGTTTTTTAGCCCCGTATATGGACTGGCTGAGCCGGTCTTATAGTCAATTACCAGCGCCGTTGCCCCGTCCGCGCTGACGTCCACCCGGTCAATATACCCACGAACCTTAGTCCGGTGGCCGGGTCCACCACTTCCGGAGTGTCCTTTTCCCAGCCGAAACTTGCTTCAACGAGGACTGGCCGGTCTCGTTGCGCGACCTCAGTTTGCTCTCCTCAACCAGGAAGGCTTCCAGGTCGTCAAGAATGTTCTGCTCTGACCAGTTCCCAGAGCAAACGCTTTCCGGTAATGCCCTGAGCCTCGGCAGCGTGGAACTCTGTTTCAGCAATTTGCATGAGCCTTGACCGGTCGGTGTCACCCCACGGCTGGCCTGGCGGGGGCAGGGCGACCGGTATCGTTGGTCTGGACAATGAACAGTTCCAGAATTCTGTGGATGAGCGAACCCCGGTCCAATGCGCTGATGGTGTTGGTATCTTCGGGGGTCGGAAGGGTCCCCAGCCGCAGCACATTGCCGAGGAAATAGCGGAAAGGACAGCCAGCCCAGGCTTCCAGCCGGGTGGCAGACATTACCTGTTGATGCAGGTTTCGACCGAACCTGGCTTCGCCCGCTACCGGCGAAAGGTTGCCGTCAAACTCGGTAAACCGGGCCGAACTTCGGCTGCGGCCCAGGCGGCTGAAATTTGCCAGGGTTCCCTGGGCGGCTATGGGATGCTGGGTGGCAGGGCGTCCGAGCTTTTTCCAGTGGACCAACCGGTGCAGATTGTAGTCCAGGGCATCGGCCAAACCGGCGTCATTCAGGTCGGCCAGGGCATGTTCTCGCCGACTCGGAAACCGTCAGCCAGGGAAGGCCGGCAAGGGAAGGAAAGGGTACTGCTGTGGACCTGCTTTCCGGCAAGGGCCGTTGCATGCTCGAGGAACCAGCGGGAAGGATGGGCCTCTCGCCGGGATGCCGTTTCGGCCACCGGAAAAGAGAGGACGCGACGGGGCGCCGTGGCCAGCGCAGACAGGTAGTCGTATCGCTCCTTCGCGATACGCTGCTCTGCACGTGTGGGGATGCCCCGGTTACGCAAGGAATGCTCGGGCACAGGGGATCGGGGCGGATGGCCGGCGGGGCCCCGCCTTCTATCATGCCCACCATCCAGATTGCGTCAAAACTCATTCCCGCGGCTGAGGCGAAGGATGACACGAAAACGCCCTGCCCCGTGGGGCCAAGGTGTCCCTGATGCACCTGCATGGAGTCCGTCAAGACCTGCTTGAACTCTTCCTCCGAGGCCGAGGGATTGATGCTGTCAGCGGCGCGCAGGTCATCCAGAATCTGTGCGATACGTTTCTTGTCCTGCTCCAGACCGGCCTGTTTGTTGTTGTCGCCCGTTGAAGGAGGCTGGTAAATGTAGCCTTCCAGGAGTTTGGAAGCCCACTCGCAGAAAGTGGGCCAAGAACTGCCGGGCGGCGGGGCAGCAACCGCTATGGACAAGTCCTTGATGAACTCCCTAAGGTCGCCGGCGATACCCGCGCTGGCCCGCATTGCGGCAGCCCGGCCTACGGAAAGTTCCTCCGCAGCTTCCCCACTATCGGCCTTTGCCATGGTCTGAAGTTCAAACGCTTCAAGTCTCGTCTGCCATTGGTCCAGGCCACCGACAATGCCGGCCTGGCGGCTGATGGCATCCCATTGGCTGGGGCTGAAAGTGGATTCCTTGCCCCTGGGTGGGCGGACTGGACAACCGGTAAGCCAGGCCATAACTTCGTCGCGGCGAAAGTCCTTTCCGGCCAAGTCCAGCAACCCCAGGAGGGTTCGCCCCGCCGGCGTGTCGGCCAGGCTGTCCCGGCTGGGGCCTGCCATGGGAATGCCAGCCAGGGCCAGTTCATCGCGAATCAGGTGCCGTAGGGATTTCCATGCGGTAAAGGACAGCCATGCGGTGAAATGGAGCGCCAGTGTTGCCCGCTTCCTCCACGATTTGGCGGATTACCCAGCGCAGTTCTTCGTGGGTGTTGGCGGCTACATGGAGGCGGACTTGCTCGGACAAGGGGATTGGCGAGTCAGTATTTTCCAAGGCAAGCGTGCAGGTCCCAGCGAGGGTTCCAGTGCCTTGGCCAAGGCAGCAATGGGTTCATTTGCGTCGGAATCGTCGATAGTTCCCAGAATTGCCGAGCATAGACCTCGTTGCGCCAGCGCTTGCATCAGGTCCGTCTCAGCGGGACTGGGAGAGCGAGGCAAGTAAAAGACAATGTGCCCCAGGTCATTCAGGGCTGCGGCCCTGCCCTGATTGACAACTGCGGCGCTTCGTAGTCAGGTCTTCCGCGTCGAACCAGTCTTGCCCAATGTCTTGCCGGAACTTCCGGTAAAGGGCAACAACTTCGGCGCCAACTCCGCCCAGGCTTGCCAATTCTTCGCGGGCGGCATCATCCAACCGGCGCAGTTCATTAAAGGAGGCGCGCACACTGGCCTGAGTCTTGGGGTGAGTCCGGACCGGCGCAGGGCTCCTTCGGCCTGGGTCAGGGCCCCGTGCAGGGAAATGCTTTGCAGGGCGGACGTCAAGGGTTTCCGACCCTCGGCAGCCAAGGCCGCGCGCCCAGGCAGTTCCGCCAGCACCGGCAATTGAATGAAGCGAACGTTGACGAAACCGCTCTGCCCCAGTTCCTGGCGCAGGCTCAAGCTGGCGTAGCGGGATGGGGAAACTACTGTTACCGGGGCCATCAGGTCATGCCTGCTTGGAATCGCGCACAAGGCTCCACAGGACTTGCCGGAGGGCTGGCGATGGCGGACCTGAAATGAGGCGGCCGAGGTACGGCGGCTGATGGGAGGTGGAGTGTGCCGTCATGACAGTATATTAACGCCTGGAAGGCGTTGCCGCCACTACACCACGGGCCGTATAGTTAAAGCAGTTACCGAATTCTCAGTCGATGCTTTTGCTTGCCTGCGGAAGGCAGTAGCGTCTAGGTTAATGTTTAGCTGGGCCATTAGGATTCGCACAGGATAAACTTCGCGAAGCATCTGAAAGCCTGGGCCTACGCATCGCTTGGGATCGGTGACCGTCTCAAGAGGGGTGATTCCAGGCCCTTCGGCTAGCTCAGAGTGACATGACGGGTCTCAGGGTGACGTGACTGGGGGATCAGGGCAAAGTTCATGCTGGAGTGAGCGATGGAATGGGTTAAGACGGAATTGCCCTGTTTGACCAAGGTTTTCGTTTGACTATGGCTTTCCTGCGTGTTAAAGTTCGCTGGTAAACTGAATAAGAGTTGTTCTGGCGGGAGCTTGGGTAAGCCAGGCTGAGAGGGTAGCCGGGAGTCGCTACCGACCGTCTGTACCTGATCCGGGTTATGCCGGCGCAGGGATGAGACGCCGGAGATAAGCAACCGCCGATATAATTAACGGCGGTTTTTGTTTTATTTTGGGGATATAGAAGGAGTTGCAGCGATGTCGGATGACTTGGTAATTGGTGGCAAACAATTCAATTCCCGACTAATCGTCGGCACTGGCCGGTACCGCACCAACGAGGATATGGTGGATGCTATCGCCGCTTCCGGCACCGAGATGGTACCGTGGCGATCCGCCGTCTTAACCTGGACGATCCTACGGAAAAAACCATTCTCGACTATATCGACTGGACCAAATACAACATTCTCGCCGAACACCGCCGCTGTGCCACCGTTGAAGAAGCGTTGTTCGTAGCCCGCCTCGGGCGCGAAGTAGCCAAGACTGACTTCGTTAAGCTGGAAGTGATTCCAGATGCCAAGTACCTCTTCCCTGATCCGGTGGGCACCCTGGAAGCGGCCCGTTTGCTGGTGGAAGAGGGTTTCATTGTTCTGCCGTACATCCACGCCGATCCGGTGCTGGCACGGCGCCTGGAAGAGGTGGGCTGCGCCACGGTTATGCCCCTCGGCTCTGCCATAGGCTCCGGTCAAGGCATTCACACGGTGGAAGAGGTGCGCATAATCATTGAGCAGGCCAATGTTCCCGTAGTGGTGGACGCAGGTCTTGCCGTCCCATCCGATGCCTCGAAGGCACTGGAGATGGGCGCTTCCGCCGTACTGGTCAATACCGCTATTGCCCAGGCGGCAAATCCTGCACAGATGGCCGAAGCCTTCAAACATGGGTGGAAGCCGGACGCAAGGCTTACCTGGCAGGCCGCATACCGACGCGTGCCTATGCCTCGGCCAGCAGCCCGACCGACGAAGTTCCCCAGCCCGTTCCCGCCGGCAGCTAGAACTTGGAAGCCGGCAGCTAGGATTTGGAAGCGGTTAGCTAGGAATTGGAAACTGTCTCAAGACCGGCGGTGAAAATTGTGGTTTTGCGCAGGTTTGACATAACGCTGCTCGTCTCACCCATCCTGACCTTGCCCGTGACAGGTGGAAGGGATTCTTGAGATAGTCTCTTGGTACATAGTGTCTTGGTAAATCGTTTGCCCGAGCCCTGCCTGTGCCTGGTAACCGACCGCCGTGTGGGTGATGAAGCCACCCTGGTTTCCCGGGTTGCGCAGGCCGTGGATGGTGGAGTTGACCTGGTCCAGTTGCGGGAAAAGGACTTGCACGGCGCCCAACTGCTGGAGTTGGCCCGCCGTCTCCGCGAGGCCATCGGTGACAAGGCGCTGCTCCTGATCAATGAACGGGTGGACGTGGCCGCTGCCCTGTCCCTCACAGGAGTAGCCTACGGGGTACAGCTGGGTGAGGATGCCATACCCGTGGGCGCCGCCCGCCGGTTGCTGGCTCCTGTACTGGGTCCGGAATTGCTGATTGGGCGCTCCGTCCATTCGGTGGAGGGGGCAAAGCAGGCAGTGGCAGACGGAGCCGATTTTCTGGTGGCGGGCACAATGTTTGCCAGCCGTATCCCACCCGGGTGAGGAACCTGCCGGTCCGCAATTGATCAGCCGGATTGTCCCGGAGTGTTCGTTGCCGGTGGTCGGGATTGGTGGCATAACCGCGGGCAATTGCGGAGAGGTGATTTCCGCCGGGGCCATGGGGGTGGCTGTCATTACCGGGATACTGGCCCACCCCCAGCCCGGAGAGGCGGCCCGCCGCCTGAAGGAAGCGCTGGTGTCTGCCCTTGCCCGCTAAGTTAGCCAGGTTGATTAAGCCGGGCTGTTACTATTGTGGTCAGTCCCGGTTGGGGGTCAAGAGAGGAATGTCTGACATGATTAACCTGATGGTGAACGGAAAGACCAGGGAGGTGGAGGAATCCACTAACCTGGAAGCTTACCTTACGGCCTTTGGCCTCGACCTGAAGTTTGTCGCGGTGGGATACAATGGCGAGGTTATTAAGAAAGAGTCCTTTGCCGAGGTTGTTCTGCAGAATGGCGACAGCCTGGAAATTGTACGGCCGGTGGGCGGAGGGTGAACACCTCGCAGGAAAGCCTGGACACTCTGCTGGTTTCCGTACTCAAGGATAACCGGGAGAAAGTGGCAGGCTGGATTAAGGACGAGCCGGGAAGTTTGGGGCTTCCTGGCCGGCAAGGCGGTAAGGGTCTGCCGGGAACATAAGGGAGAATCATTAACCGACGAGGAGCGAAGGCTGGTCTGGCACCGACTCTGGCAGTTGTTGACTGTGTTGAAAGAGAAAACAATTGAGTGAACGACCGGGAGTCACAAGGCTCACTTAAGTTGGAGGGGCGATGCAGTCATCGCCCCGTTTTTGCTTCAAGGTCTGAAAACAAGTGTGGGCCTTGCTAGAGATTCCTACACTGCCACCGCAACCTCCACCGAATTGATTGGAGGCAGGTTTTCAATGGGAATTATATCGTTTGTTAGCCACGCTCGAAATTTGTAAAGTCGTGAGATCAGATAATATTGAAGGCGATGGTTACCACAACAGCAACTACAGCGATTACGGTGGTAGCCGCCCACTTCCAGTTGCTCAAAAGACCGTATCGGAAATTTCCCAGCCTCAACCGTTTTTCTCGTTCCCAACCTTTTTCAGTGAGTGTCAGAGACCTGATAACGGGGTCGCAATCATCTACCACCCACCCGTGCAATTCCGCATAAACGATTGCGTCTAACCCAATGTTTACTGCTTGTTGACTACTCCGTTCAAATAACCATTGGGAGATATACGTAGCGGTAAGATCCTTCCGAGAAAGAGAATAAGGCCATTTACCTAACTCTCTGACCAGATTGTCAGCAACTACCTCAACGAGTTTGGTGTAGCTCGTCTTGTTTGTTATCCAACAGCTTGGCGAGTAGCAATATTCCACTCCTGCACTTCTCCCTGGGCAACGATTCGTCCTTCTGAGTTTGAACCCTTATGCCCTGCCTTGTAGCTAATCGCAGTGCAGGGTTCGGGCGTCTTGGTGAAGCATATGCTCTAAGAGGTAGGCCACCGCCGTCAGTGGACTTGAACAATGCAGCGGGCTGAACGCCGGCGTAATAAGCATCAGGTTCATCGGGCCCTGCGGGCTCTGTGTGCCAGATGCGGCTGACGGTTGGCCCGTCGTGCTCGGCATATTCGGGTTTTTAATTGACTTGAATTGAATCGAGGCTGAGAACTAGCTTGCTGCCAGGTCTGTCCCAGCCTGCAAGTGAAAGATACTGACTCCACCCTGGTTCTCAGCCGGAAACCAAACCACATGCTGTTGCTGGCGGCGACAAGCTTTCCGCCGGTGCGAGCATCCTGAATCAGGTGAAAAATGTCCTTGCCCGGGGCTAAAAGGGCCCGAAACCCTCCACTTGCTTCGGCACTGATCGCCTGACCGGATAAAAGCGCCCTTGCGTGTGCCTGCCAGCGCCAGCATGTCGCCGGCCCGGGCGGGAACTGGCTCGGTCATGTCCAGGTTCTCCTTAGTGGTCCTTAACGGCGGCTGCTTTTGGGCAGCTATCTTGGCACTTAAGGAGTGAGAATTACCTTGCCGTGGGTTCCCCGGTTCGAGAGATGTTGGTGGGCCTGGGCTACTTCGGACATGGGCAGCACCCGGTCCACCACGAGGCGAACCCTGCCATCGGCGAGCATGGGGAAAAGCTCGGCCATGGCTGCCGGGTGGTCCAGGCGACCGGCGGGCGACCGGCCCATGCTGAACCCTATGACTGTCCGATTGGCGCCGAAGATATCCCCACCAGCCAGCGAAGCCGCGGTTCCCGAGGCGTTGCCATAGGAGATCAATTTGCCGTAAGAAGCGACGCACCTGACGCTCTTTTCCAGGACTGGCCCTCCGACGCACTCCAGCACCAGTTCGACGCCGTTGCCGTTGGTCATCTGGCGGACCTCTTCTTCAAAGTCCTGCGCAACATAGTTGATGGTCTCGTCGGCCCCCAGGGTCTGGGTAAGGTCCAGCTTTTCGGCGGAAGATGCGGTGGTAATCACACGAGCGCCCCAGGCCTTGGCCAACTGGATGGCCACGGTTCCCACACCGGATGCCCCGGCCTGGATGAGTACAGTGTCGCCGGGCTGTACCTGTCCCCGGGTCTTCAGCAGGTGGTAGGCGGTCAGGAATACAATGGGCATACCGCCGGCGTGGACCGGGTCAACGGTTTCGGGGTAGGGGAAAACGTAATTGGCGTTTATGGAGACGTACTCGGCATTGCCCTGGGGTCCCATGCCCAGCACCCTCTGCCCCACGCTGAGGCCGGTTACTCCTTCGCCGACTTCGGTTATCGTGCCGGCCGCTTCCAGCCCCAGGGTAGAGGGCAGGTCTGGTCCGGGGTAATTGCCCTGCCGCCGCATGATGTCGGCGTAGTTAACCCCTGAGGAGTCCACCTTGATAATCACCTGGCCGGGCCGCACTGCCGGCTCGGAGACATCTTTCCATTGGAGGACTTCAAGCCCGCCGAACTCCTCGATTCTTACTGCTTTCATGGCCTGCTCCGTATTAGGTTCCGTATCTGGTTGGCTTGGCGAAAAAACGTAATGCCGGAAGACCCGGGCGTGTCTTCTCCTTTCTTGCCGACAACTCAGGGCTGGGCACGCAGTTGGGGGGCATTCAAAACTTCCTCGTTGATCACTCGGACGGGTTCCCCGGCAGCGTAGGCTCTTACATCCTCAATGGCCCCGGCATAGAAGGCCCGGTAGCCTGCCTCGGTTACGTAGCCGAGGTGGGGAGCGATGATGGTGTTGTCCAGTTGCAGGAATGGATGATTCCTCGGGAGCGGTTCCACATCAAAGGTGTCCAGGGCGGCGCCGGCTATCGCCTTGCGCTGCAGCGCGTCCACCAGCGCGGCCTCATCTACTATTGGCCCGCGGGAGATGTTTACCAGGTAAGCGGTGGACTTCATCAGGCCGATTTCCCGCGCGCCCACCAGGCCCCGCGTGCGGTCGCTCAGGCGCAGGTGCACCGATGCGATATCCGATTCCCGGAACAGCGTATCCTTGTCCACCAGGGTGGCTTCACACTGGGCGGCGCGTTCCGCGGTCAGGTTCTGGCTCCAGGCGATTACGTTCATCTGGAAGGCGTTGCCCACTCGGGCCATCAGTCCGCCAATGTGGCCCAGCCCGATAAGTCCCAGGGTCAGGTCCTTAAGTCCCACTCCGATAGTGGTCTGCCAGTGGCCCTCCCGGGTGAGCCGGTCTTCCTGGGGTATCTTGCGCAGGAGGCCGATAATCAGGCCCCAGGTCAGCTCGGTGGGCCCTTCGCCGGCGCCACCGGTGCCGCAGACCACGATGCCCAGTTCGGTGGCGGCTTCAACGTCGAACGAGGCGTTCCGTCCGCCGGTGGTTATCAACAGGCGCAGGTCGGGCAGCCGCGCCAGGACCGACCTGGGGAAGGCGGTGCGTTCCCGCATTCCAACTACCGCGTCAAAGCCCTGCAATCTTTCCACCAGCGGGTCTTCTTCCGCCAGGTGGTCCCGGAAAACCTCGACTTCTGTTCCTTCCGGCAAGGCCGTCCAGTCTGCCATGCTCCGGGCTGCGTCCTGGTAATCATCCAATACTGCTACTTTCAAGGGGCACATCTCCTGAGGGCTTAGTAAAAAGGGGATCATTTGAAGTGGGCTTATTTGAAATGGGGAGCCACGTCCTTGGCCAGGATTTCCATGCTGTGCATCACCCGCTCCGGCGGTATCAGGCCGCCCGGATTGAGTTCAGCGATTACGCTCTTGAGGCCCAATCTTCTTCCAACTGGGAAAGACGGGTAACCAGACCCTCGGCGGAACCAAAGCCACCTTGGTATCCAGCATATTTTCAAACGTCATGGTGGCCAGGCGATCGCCCCGGCCTGTCGGAGTCGCGTGGCCTCGGTGCCCGCGCTGCCGGCTGATCCCGATAAAGGGAACTCATGCGACTGAAGTAGGCGTGGATGCTCTCTGAGGGTTCTTCCAGCGCTGCCTGCTCGGAGTCTCCGGCATACACGGGGATTCGCAGGGAAACGTCGCCGTCGCCGGGGTGGCCGGCGGCAGTGCCAGGCTTCCCGGTACTTGGCCAGGTTAATCTGCAGATCGTTCAGGTCCATGCCCCGCAGTGCCCACAAAGATTGGCATTCCCTGCTGGCCCATACGGGGGAAGGTCTCTTCGGTGGTCGCGGCGACCCTCAGGGGAGGGTGCGGCAAGGTGTAGGGAGTAGGGGAAATGTGAGCGCGTTTCAATCTGGAAGTACTCGCCGTGATAGGAAAAAGGCCTCTCCCTTCCACGCTTCCAGAATAATCTCCAGCGCTCTTCAAAGCGGCCCCGGCTTTCCTCGTAGGGAATCCCGTAAACGTCGTAAGCTCGGGGGAAGGCGCTGCGCCCGATGCCGAAGTCAAACCGGCCCTCCGCTATCTGGTCGACCGTGGCCATCTCCTCGGCTATTCGCAGGGGATTGCCCAGGGGCATACCGACACTGCGGTGCCCACTCGCAGGCGTTCGGTGCGGGTGGCGATCGGAACTGGCAATTTGACGCCGGCGAGGACAGAACGGTACGGGTGGGAGCGAGTGGACTTCCGACAGCCAGGCTTCGTCCAGGCCCCACGCCTCGGCGGCGTCCACCAGCGCAAACCCCTCCTGGAAGGCGTCGGCCTGGCTGCCCCCGTCCCGCCGCTCGAACTGCATGAATATGCCAAAATCCATAGTCTCTCCCCTCTGCTGTTATCTTAATTTGGTGTCCGGGTTGTTGCCTGCAACACCCATTCCGCATCTGCCAACCGTGGCTCTCCCTGCAATAACCGCAACTTGCGTGGTTGGCACATGCGTGGGTGGAAGGGACGACAGTTGGGTATCGGGGTCGTAGGTAATGGCAGTGCGCTAAAGTTAATCACATGGCAAACTTGGGGTCAAGAATAGCGGGGAGGCCTTGGAGGCCTTGGAGGCGCTGGAGCAAAGGAACTACGGTCGGCTCGACTTAAGTTGTCGATAACCCGTTAAAGAAGAAAAACCAGGGCCACCCAACCGAGATTGGGTGGCCCACGAAAAGCTCGTTAGCTTCCGTTTAGTTTATTCGCCGCCGGGCTACTCCCTGGGTCTGGACCCGAGAAGCCCGAGTCGTTGAGATGGTTAGGATCTATCCACATGTGGGCCCACCGCAGGTGGCTGTGGGTAGAACCAGGGAAGTGGACATAACCGCGAACTTCAGGCCAGAAGGACACGGCTTCCTGCTCCCAGAAGGAGGGGAAGTTCCAGTATTGTCCCATCAGGTGTAGCTGGATCTCCCGCCCCAACTCCAACCGGTCTTCGAACGCCGTCATTTGGCCCAATTCCTCAAACATGGCCTCAGACGCTGCAGTCACAGTCAGAACCAGGAGTCTGGAAGTTGTACAGGCTCGCGCACCGGTGGTAGTGCCCCAGACCAAGGTAGGGGTCGTCCACGCCGGCTACGCCGCCGGTGGATGCCATGAAGTCACCCCAGTCACCGGCCTGCCTGGTCTTCCGGTATGCGATAGTCTCGACGGTGTCGAAGTCGGTCTCTATGCCCAGCAACCGAAGCTGCTCTTGCATATAGGTGGCGCGGTTGACCCGCTGGTTATCGCTTTCTACCGTCAGGACGTAGGTCTTGTCGAAGTTGAAACCCTCCTCATTCAGAATCTGGATGGCTGCGGCCCGCTGCGCCTCCAGGGTCTTCAGGAGGACACCAGCCGGGGACACCGCAGGCCGCTTCTTCTGACAGAGCCCAGGGACTGCCGGGAGGCATGAGCCCCAAACCAACCGAACCGTAACCGGAGAGGGTTACCTTGATACCGGTCACCTTGTCGAATCCCATGGCGATGGCCTGACGGATTCGCACGTTATCGAAGGGTTCGTTCCGAGTGTTAATCCACAGGTTTTCGCTGCTGCGGGTGGCGCGTATTACCGTCTGGATCTGGTCGTGCTGCACATACCGGTCGTATTGACCGAAGTTGCGGACCCAGTGCCAGTCGGTCTGGTGAGCCAGCATGGTTGCCTGCTGGGCGGACTCATCCAGGATGCCGAAAACCACCACCTCGTTAACATAGGGCAACCCGTCAACGTGGTAGTTGGGGTTCCGTTCGAAGCTTTGCTCATCTACGCCGACCTGCTGGCCCGCGCCCCAGATGAATGGTCCAGTTCCCAGCGAGACGTCCTGGAACATGGCATCTTCGCCGCCGTCCAGGAACCACTGCTTGTTGAATATCATTGCCGCCGGGTTGCCAAAACTAAGCAGCGGCACTGCCGACGGGGCGGTAAACCTGAACTTCAGAGCGGACTCATCCACGCATTGCATTTGGTTCAGGTCCACTTCGGTTAGCCGGTTCTTCATGTAGGAACCGGTGATACCTTCTTCCGTAATCATGATTTTCGTAGCTGTAACGGGCGTCCTCACAGGTCATCGGCTCGCCGTTGTGCCACAGGACGTTGTCCTTGAGGTAGAAGGTTACCCCTTTCAGGTCATCGTCGACGGTCCAGCCGTAAGCTAAGCCTGGAACGTAGGGCGCGCCTGGATCATAGGGGTTGTCCTGAATCAGGCCGTCATGGGTAGGCATTCGATAGCGCATGGTGGTGCCGGAACGGGCGCCCCATACGTTGGCATGCTCCAGCGGGTCCTCATAGTTAATGCGAAGCGTGCCGCCATAAACCGGGTTCCCGTAGAAGGCAGTCGGTGGCGTCCAGTATGAAGCAAATGGGGGAGCTTCCCTGGGCCCCATCAACGACTCAGACGCAGGAGCCAAAGCTGCCTGGGCCACGGTTGTAGGGGTAGGCGCCGGTTGATCCGCCGGTTCCTGTGCCGGGGCTTCCGACGAACCCGTAGAACCGGAGCCAGACTGTTGTTGCGCTGCTGGCGCGGCGGCAGGTTGTGACGCCGATTGGGCGGGAGCAGCTTGCTGCTGGCTGGCCGCCGGTTCGGCGATGGGTTCTACTGCGGGTTGTACGTCGGTTGGCTCTGCTGTGCCGCAGGCCACTATAAGCATCGCGCCCATCAGGCCGCCGGCCATAACGAGGCGCCATAACTTCCAGTTGTTCCTGTACTTGCTCATCATTATTCCTCCCAAATGGTGGTTCCGTGCCAGTGGTTCCATTGCCAAGAGAGTTACTTAGATGCGAGCGCTACGATGGGTCGGATATCACATCTGTGCCAAAGATACCGCCGTGTCGTGGGTCAACAGGAATACGGTCAATAGGGTCCGGTTTTCCTTTCAACAATATGTACTGTCAGTTGATATTCCTTCGATGTCACCTCCTTTTCTAATAAAATGGTGGGATTGAGGGTTGGTCCTTTGCCGGAAACCGGGGCAAGGGACGGTAACAAACTGTTGAAAGGGAGCTTAGCACTTAACGCATAAATCGTCGGTGAAGCGAGTATCGTCCAGATTTACGGCAAGTATATTGGGGTGTTACGAAGCATGTCAATGTCAGCATGATATATAGACGCAAATCGTAAAGCATTGCAGAGGTATAAACGATACGCACGAAGGCCCATTGTCGTGGGAGATTAGCCCGCTATGATCAGCAGGTTGGAGGCAGAGAAAAGATGGAGCAATTCTATGCAAGTAGGGCATAAAACTACTTGCCGTTGTTGCCTGTAGACTCGTAATTAACCCTGGGGCCCTGGGCACAACCCTCGCCATCAAGGCCCGGCATAGGGTATGCACTCGACGAGGCTTAACAGCAAGTATGGCGACAAGAGGGTTGCCAGATTCCGCAAAGCATTACCGAATTCCGCAACATTTACAGTCATAACTGTAGGTGATACTATTATGCAGTGTCCATTTTCTTTTAACCTTTCACCCTCAACTCCAAGAGTGAGCTAGTGTCCGCTATGGCCGACTTGGGCCAAATTTCCCTTTGGATAGCCCTGGCGCTTTCCTGTTATGCCTTCTTTGGCTCGCTGATCGGCAACTCAGAGGCATTCCGCCCTGGTGGACAGCGCCCGCCGCTCTGTCTACCTTGCCGCCTGGTCCTGCTGGTCGCTACCCTCAGCCTCATCGGCTCCTTTATCAATCGGGACTACTCCGTCGCCTACGTGGCCGCCCACAGCAACTAACGCCATGGCCGACATTCTACACCTGGGTCGCCTTCTACGCTGGCAACGAAGGCTCCCTCCTCTACATTGCTTTCGTCCTGTCCGCCCTCGCCGCCGTCGCCATTCGCTGGGCTCCCCAGCGAGTACGCGACGTTTTGCCCTACACCACTGCAACCCTGATGGTGGTGCTGACCTTCTTTATTGCCGTCATGGCCTTTATGGCCAACCCCTTTGCCAGGCTCCCCTTTGTTCCCCTCGATGGCGAGGGCATCAATCCCCTGCTCACCCACTTCGGTATGTTCTTTCACCCCCCGGCCCTGATGGCCGGTCTGATTGGGATGAGCATCCCCTTCGCCTTTGGACTCGCCGCCCTGCTCGGTGGCAAGACCCGCGATGAGTGGGCCGATACCGGGCGTATATGGGGGATAGTCACCTGGGCCCTGCTGGCCAGCGGCTTGCTGCTGGGTTCCTGGTGGGCTTATACCATACTCGGGCTGGGGCGGCTTCTGGTTCTGGGATCCCGTGGAAAACGCCGCTTTCATGCCCTGGCTGGCTTTGACCGCCTTCGTTCATTCCATCATGGTCCAGAAACGGCGGGGTATGTTCCGGATGTGGAATATCGTCCTGATCAACGTCGCCTTTGGACTCGCCCTTTATGGCATGTTTATGAACCGGGGCGGGCCGGTGCCCTCGGTCCATTCCTTTGGCGCTTCCAACCTGGGCTGGGTGTTCCTGCTCTTCCTGGCGGTGGGAGTGATCGTCCCCTTTGTTGTCTTCTTCTGGCGGTACCACCTGCTGAAGAGCGCCCAAAACCTGGATTCCATGCTGTCCCGCGAGGCCGCTTTTCTGGTCAACAACATCCTCTTGCTGGGCATCGCCTTCGTTACCCTCTGGGGCACGGTGTATCCCCTGTTCGCCAGGCTCGGCGGGGGTGAGGAGATAACCATTGCCCGTCCCTTCTACGATCAGGTCAACGGCCCGCTGATGCTGGTCCTGGTCCTTTTGATGGGCGTGGGCCCGCTGCTGCCCTGGCGTCGCGCCAACTGGGCCAGCCTGCGTCGCGCGCTGCTGTTTCCGGCCTCCGCGGCGGCTATAATTACAGTTTTTTTGGCGGCGCTGGTTACGCGTCAGCCCTTTGCCCTCATCGGATTCGGCCTTTGTGCCTTTGTGTCCTCTGGAATCCTCCTGGAATGGTGGCGCGGTATGCGGGCCCGCCATCGCACCTCCGGAGAGATTTATCCGCTGGCTCTCCTTCGGCTGATTGCGGGTAACCGTCCCCGGTATGGCGGCTACATCGTCCACCTGGCGGTGGTGATGGTGGCCCTGGGAGTTTTGGGCGGCTCGCTTTTTGACCTTCAGCGTGACGTGGTGCTGGCCCCGGGCGATAGCTATGCGATTGCCGGGTACGAGTTGCGCTATCTGGAGACTTCCCAGGCCATCAAGTCCGACCGCACCGAGTATATATCCACCCTTGAGTTGTACCGGGACGGGGCGCTGCTCGAGGAGATGCAGGCTCGCCGGAGTTTCTACCCCTCGTTCAACATGGCTTCAACGCTGGCGGCAATCCGGTCCACGCCCGTTGAGGACTTTTACGCGGTTCCCAGCGAGAACCTGCCCGACGGCTCGGTGGGCTTCCGCATCCTGGTGAATCCGCTAATCTGGTGGATGTGGGTTAGCCGGTCCGGTAATGATCCTCGGCACGGTGGTAGCGTTGTGGCCGGAAGGGCAAGGGAACAGAACCCGCAAAGACTAAGGGAAAAGGCTCCGCAAAGACTCGGGGAACCGGCCAGCGTTTTAACGATGTCTGATGCTGACAGTCCGGCGGCAGTAGCACCCAATTCGGGCGAAACCGGACCAACTCCGGCATGAACACGGCATGAAACCGGCATGAACAGCGGCATGAACTCCGGCATGAACAGCGGCATGAACTCCGGTATGAACTCCGGTATGAACTCCGGCATGAACTCCGGCATGAACTCGCATGAACTCCGGCATGAACTCCGGCATGAACTCCGGCATGAACTCCGGCATGAACTCCGGCATGAACTCCGGCATGAACTCCGGCATGAACTCCGGCATGAACTCCGGCATGAACTCCGGCATGAACTCCGGCATGAACTCCCGTATCAACATATTGTACTCAAACGCGGAATGTGGCCCCAATTCGTTGGCCAGGACGACTCCATGGCGATAACCCTCGGGGCAATTCTGGCCCTGTTAAGTGTTGCCGTTGCAGTCTACCCTTTTCTTCAGCGACGCTTTTTCGCTCCGTCCGCGAACGAAACACCTGAAGCGTCCGGCGAAGCAGGTGGCGGGAAAACTCCCGAGCCTTCCGACGGCTTGGCGTCAATTTACGACGCCATTCGCACATTGCAGTTGGAGCGTGAGTTGGGGAAACATCCGGAAGGAGTTGTATCGGGAGCAGCTTAACGGTTATCGAATGCAGGCCGCCCTGGTATTGAGAGAGCGGGACGGCCTTCCGAAGCGGAAACCCGGACCCGTCCCTGCCGGACCCGTCCCTGCCGGACCCGTCCCTGCCGGACCCGTCCCTGCCGGACCCGTCCCTTGAAGAGAGATCAAGTTAGCTCGTGCCGGGCTGTATAGTCCCGGCGGCGGTTTTTCCTGTTCCAATTGCGCCCGTCCCATTCCCGCGGGAAACGACAACTGCCCGGAGTGCGGCGTGGCAATACCCAAGCAAACCGGGCATAGCCCCCCTTACTTCAGCTGGCGGCGTGGCAGTGTCCAAGCAAACCGGGGATAGCGCCCCTACCAGCTGCGGCGTGCGGCCAAAACCGGGGATAGCGCCCCTTAACTCAGCTGGCGGCGTGGCAGTGTCCAAGCAAACCGGGGATAGCGCCCCTTAACTAGCTGGCGGTGTGGCAGTGTCCAAGCAAACCGGGGATAGCGCCCCTTAACTTAGCTGCGAGTAAAATACCCAAGCTATGACTTTCCATCGCTTTCTTCATCCGGCCCTGGGACTGCCCCTGGCCTTCCGATGGTACTCTGTCTCTTGCTGATCAGTTCGGCCATGCACGGCTCAGCCCCGATTGCCGCCCAGGCCCCGGACACATTAGCAGTGAAGGGCAAGGTAAGCAACGGCACGAGTGGGGGCCAAGTACCCTCCAACTTGCCGGTAACTCTTCATGCCATCGCCCAGGATGCTGGTCGAGTGGCAACCTACAACACTGCCACCGACGAGAAGGGCGGGTTCACCTTTGAGGAGATTGCCCCCTTGGGTAGCGACGGCAGCTACGTCCTCGTGATGGATTATGCCGACATGCGCTACAGCGAACTCCTGGACTCTGGCGCCCTGGCTGAGCCTGGCTGAATTGACGGTATACGAGACTACCGGAGATATCGGGGTGATTCGGGTTGACCGCCAAGCCATGATTATAGCCGACATTAATGAGACTGACCGAGAGGTAAGGGCCCTGGAAGTGCTTGGCGTCAGCAACACCAGCGACAGGACCCTGCTTCCAGAGTTGACAAACATCACCAATCCCGCCGACATTAACTTCCTGCGCTTTTCGCTGCCGATTGATGCCAGCGAACTGTCTGTTCAGTCCACCCTGCCCGGTGGTGACATTATTCCCATGGGAACCGGATTTGCGGTGACCTCCCCCGTTCTGCCGGGTGAGCACGAGATAACCTACACCTACAAGTTCCCCTATGAGGGGGACAGTGTTACCTTCAACCAGCGCCTGATCCAGGGGGCCGAACAATACCAGGTCCTGGCCCCGGCTTCCCTGTCCCAAGTTCAGGTGTTACCCCTGGAACCCAAACCCCGCATCGATGTTAGTGGAACGGCCTATCTGGTTTGGGAGGCCACTGGAATCCCTCCTGGCCGAGGTGTTTCGCTACAGATAACCCAGTTGCCGCAGCCCGGAATGTGGACCAGGTTCTTGAACCAGGTGAAGGATGGCGATATTTGGCTGGTTGCCATTCCCGTCATGCTGGGAGTTGCCCTGGCTGCCGTTCTGGTCTGGGCCTGGTTTCGCGCCGCCGAGGACGACTGGCGCTGCCGCGGAGTCAGCCGCCGACGGTCTGCAGCAATCTCGCCGACAGTCTGTCGTTCAGGCCATCGCCGTCCTGGACGAGAGGTATGAACGGGGGCAGGTGGAGAATGAGGAATATCGGCCTCGCCGCGAAGAACTGATGACCCAACTTCGTCAGGCCTCGCCTGATATCAACGCTGGGCAAACCGGTCCGTGAGCAGGCGCGGTTGGATACTCCTGGCCACCGGTGTGCCGATTGCCGCCTTTCTGGGCATACTGGTCTGGGCCTCGCTTCAGACCGGTGGGCAAGCAGGAGGTCTGGGCGTTAACACCCAGTTCGGCGTGGCCGAAATTGACGCCAAGCCTGCCCAGGATTTCACCCTCTCTCTTCACGATGGCGGCGCTATCGCGCTGTCCGATTTGAGAGGGAAGGTAGTGCTGGTGGACTTCTGGGCCTCGTGGTGCGCCCCTTGCCGTCAAGAGGCGCCCGTCCTGGAACAGATCTACCGCGAGTACGCCGGCTCGGATGTGGAGTTTGTCGGGGTGAACATTTGGGACCTGCCCGACAATGCTGCCACTTACGTCGAGGACTTTGAAATAAGCTACCCCAACGGCGTGGATGCGGACGGCATTATCGCGATAGATTATGGCGTCAAAGGCATACCGGAAAAGTTTTTCATTGACCGCGATGGTGTGGTGAGGCAAAAGTTCGTTGGGCCCATTCGGCCCGATAAATTGCGGGAGACTCTGGACCAACTCCTGGCTGAATAGCACAAGGTTGACTTGTAGACGCGGAACCCGCCCGTTGCTTCTCCTGGTATGATGTTGCACTGGAAAGTTCCGGCACTCCTCGAATGGATGCAGCGGGGGAGGCAGAATTCTTGGTACCGCCGGACAGTCGGGATTGCTCTCCAGCTCTTCGATTCCAGTTTTCATTTCGGTTAAGGCAGTATAAGATTGGCCGACAATTGCGAGGCACAGAACTGGCGTTAAGGGCCAGATTACGGGGAGGAAGGGTAGTGATGACCCAGGAAGCTGATGTTGCCCTGGCTATGGACTGGGGAGGGACCTGGAGCCGCATTGCAGTGGTCAACCGGGAGGGTGAAATTCTCTGGCAGTCCCGGGTGCGGAACGCCGCCGGAGCCGGAAAGGAACAATTGCTTACCGACACCGAGGCGCTGGTTCAGCAGGCGAAGGACTGGTGTGGGACGGGACGGTCGGTCGCAGGTCTGGGAATAGCTGCCGCGGGCCCTGTTGACTCGGATACGGGTACGCTCCGTGAGCCACCGAACCTGGCTCCCTTGAACGGTGTTTCCCTGAAGGCCCTTTGGGAGCCCAAACTGGAACTGCCGGTCCACGTCGGCAATGACGCCAATCTGGCTGCCTTGGGTGAGTTTGTATACGGCGCCGGTTTGGAAGCTCGCCACAGCCGGCAGGATACCAACAGTCTAGTTTACGTAACCGTGAGCACCGCGTTGGCGGCGGAGTAATCGATCGGGGAAGGATGCTCCTGGGCACGCATGGGCTGGCTGCGGAGGTCGGTCACATGGTAATTGACCGTCGGCCCGATGCCCCGTTGTGCCAGTGCGGGAATACCGGTTGCCTGGAAGCCCTGGCGTCGGGCACTTCCATCGCCCGCGTTGCGCGAGAGTTGGCAGCACATCAGGAGCACAAGAGCAGCGTTTTGGCAGAGTTGGAGCCGGCCCTGATATCGGCGGAGCGGGTGTTTGACGCCGCGGCCCAGGGGGATACGCTGGCCTGGACTATTCTTAACGATGTCATCGACAGCCTGGCCGTGGGCCTGACCAATCTGCTCAGTCTTTATAACCCCAACCTGCTGTGATGGGCGGCGGCGTTACCTTCGGCCTGGTGGGCATGGGTCTGCTTCCCCGCATCCACAGTCAGATGCAGCAGCGCGCAATGACTGAAGGTCACAAGGACTTCAGGCTTATCCCCAGCCGCCTGGGTGATGCCCCTGGAATGATGGGCGCGGCCTGCCTGGTCTGGTCCCAACCCGGGAAATAGGCGGAATGCCGGCCTGTCCCAAGTTTGCGGCGCCGACAGGGTTTTTGGCCCCCGGGTTGTTGAAGACGGGTGAACGCAGAATCGAGTCCGATTAACACCCGGCAATGCCCTGCGGCGGCGCTGGCTGATGCGAAGGTATTGCCGCCGCTGGTGCCACGTTCACACCACAGGTAGCCCGACTAAAAGATGTAGCGGCCTCCCATAACGTTGAGCCTGTCCCCTGTAATGTAGCCTGACTCGTCGGATGCAAAGAAAAGGCAAGCTTCCGCTATGTCTCTCACGGTGGCCTGCCGGAGCATGGGTAAACCGGACAAGTGCTCGTTGGAGCCCCGATCCACCTCCTGGAACTCGGGATACCACTCGGGGTGGGCGCGGGAAGTGTCCGTTGAACCGGGGTTGACCATGTTAGCGCGAATGTTATAGGGGGCCATCTCAGCCGCCACCGCACGGATAAGCCCGAGCAGACCGGTCTTGGCAGTAGTTACCAGGGATGTCTCCGGCCGTCCGGTGATTGCCGACTGTCCTCCCAGGGCGATGATGCTGCCGTTCCGTCGCTCCATCATACCGGGCAGCGCCGCCTTTATCAGGTAGAAGGCGGGGAACAGGTTGATTTCCATCACCTGCCGCCACTCCTCGTTGGAAATGTCCAGGATGGGTTTGTGCGGCCGGATTGCCACGTTGCTAACCAGGACGTCAACCTTTCCGAGCGCTTTCGATACCCTCCTCGACGATACCGGCAGCGGTGTCCGGTTCTGATACATCGCCCATGGCCAGGTGGGTATTGACACCCAGCTCCCGGCATTCTGCGGCAACTTCCTCCAGTTCCTGACGGCTTTGCCGGGTATTCAGTACCAGGTCGGCGCCTTCCCGGGCAAAGGTCAACGCTATCTCGCGGCCAATGTTCCGGCTGGCGCCGGTAATTAGCGCCGTCTTTCCTTCCAGTCTCATCCTTCCTCCAAACTGCGTCCTTGATGGATAGTCAAGGCGCATTCTTTCACTTCAACAGGTGCGAGGAAATTAACACATGGCGAAAACGGGCGCAATTGCCCGAGGCCCGTCACGTTCAGTTGACCAGGTTTGGACCAGCTTCAACAGTCCCGTAGCGAATCCGGCGTTCCATCGCGAGGACTCCAATAGCGCCGACCGCTCGTACAGAAGCTCACTATTCTGTTTTTCTTGACTCCGGGCTTCCCGTGTTATAGAGTGATTAGGTCGATCTCCTGGTTTGACGTTTAACAATTGAAGAGAGCCTGATGGTGGCCCCGCGTTAGTGGGGTTGAAAAGGGAAGCCGGTGAGAATCCGGCGTGGTCGCGCCACTGTAACTGGCGAGAACTGCTCCAAGCATGCTTTAGCAGACCACTGGTCCTGAGGAAGGACTGGGAAGGTGGAGTAGCTCGTTAACAGCCAGAAGCCAGGAGACCTGCCCTCGGGCCTGAACTGGATACGCTTCGCGGAAAGGTGTATGGGTTATTGAAATTTTAAGCCTGACCGCGAAGGTCAGGCTTTCTTTTGTTTGCCAGGTAATGAAGAGAATTATACCCAGCCCATCAGGCACCCATTGCAATTTGCCCGTTCAACGACAATCGTTGAACTCAACTGTCGAGAGACGACTGGATGGTTTCCAAACAGGCCTTGCAGGACCTCCTCCCCTCTTGGCCGACAGGCGCAGGCAACTGTGCCTTGGCAGACCATCCAGTCTTCTCTCTATTCGAGTCTCCGCTTTTGAGGCAGGAAACCTGGCGGGACATTCGGTGGATTTATCCGGCCCAAGACAGCATAATGGTGCACATTACGTCCCGGTTCGGAGGGTTGCATGTTACGCCAAATCCTTGAAGAGTGCCAGCAAGGATTCCACGAAGTAGGTTTCAATGAGGTAGTCCTCATGTTATCCAATACTGCCGCGACCTCCGAAGTCTACATGATGCTGGACGACCTCCGGTTTTCTGAAGACGGGAATATTGTTACCTTCATGGCCCAGGAAGGAACTCACCTGCACATGTACCTGGATAAAGTTGAAGAAGTCCGCCTTATTCACCGCATGAACGATGAGGGGCTTCCCAGCTACTCGGTATGGTTCATGGACGAGAACCTGGATCCGGTGCTGCGGATATACCTTCGCAAATCCGAGGAAGACGACACCAACCAGCCGCGCCACGATCTGTTCATGGCCCTGCTGGACAAGTACGGGACGACATTGAGCACGAAGTAGTACCTCCCTTTTCCAGGGCCGATGGCATCTCAAGTGCCCTCATGAAGATACTGAAACTCGAAAGTGGCGCCCGGAACCATTGCGATACGGGAGTATAGATGACCAGTGCCATTGTAATTGCCGGGGTTCGCAGCGGGGTGGGAAAGACTACCATTGCTACCGGCATCATGGGAGCGCTGACCCGCCGTGGCCATAGGGTCCAGCCCTTCAAGGCCGGCCCGGACTACATTGACCCGTCCTACCATCAGTTGGCCTGCGGCGTGCCCTCCCGCAACCTTGATACCTGGCTTCTGCCCCATCCTACTGTTACCGAGCTTTTTCGCCGCGCCAGCGGAGCCGACAAAGTCTGCGTGGTGGAAGGAGTAATGGGGGTCTACGACGGTCATTCCAGCCTGACCGAAGAAGGATCCACCGCCCAACTGGCCAAGCTGCTGGATGCGCCGGTGATTCTGGTCGCCGATGCCGCCAAGGTGGCCCGCAGCGTTGCCGCCGAGGTGTTGGGGTACCAGCAATTCGACCCGGATCTCCGCATTGCCGGAGTCATATTGAACGGAGTTGGGGGTCCCCGCCACCTGGAGTTCTGCCAGCCGCAGATTGAGGAGACCACCGGACTGCCAGTGCTGGGCTACCTGCCACGGCGGGAGCAGTTTGTTCAACCGGAACGCCACCTGGGGCTGATACCGACCGTGGAAGGCACCGTGGTACAGGAATGGTACGACGCCCTGATTGCCCAGGTTGAAGAAACAATTGACCTGGACGCCGTCCTGAGGCTGGCCGACACCGCCAATCCACCGGAAGGCGCTCCGCAGGTATATCCGGCTGAACCCCAGCCCAGGCGTGCCCGCATTGCCATAGCCCAGGACAAGGCCTTCAGTTTCTATTACCAGGATTCTCTGGACCTGCTTGAGGCTTGGGGAGCCGAATTGGTGCCCTTCAGTCCTTTGGCGGATGAGTCACTGCCTCCGCAGGTGGGAGGTGTTTACATCGGTGGTGGCTTCCCTGAGATGTTCGCCCGTGAGTTGGCCGAGAATCGCCCCATGCTGGAGTCCGTCCGGCAGGCGTTGGCCCGTGACTTGCCCGTCTATGCCGAGTGCGGTGGGCTGATGTACCTGGGGCAAAGTCTTTCAGACCTGGAGGGAGCCGACTTTCCCATGGTGGGGGCCATTCCAGTGGTCTCATCCATGTCCAACAGTCGATTGACGCTGGGCTACCGTGAGGTTGAGGCCTGCGCCGACACGCCCCTGCTGGAAAGCGGGCAACGGATTCGGGGCCACGAATTTCACTGGTCCGTGCTGGAAGAAACGCCCGACCCCGGTCAGGCCGTTTACCGCGTGGTGGACCAGGAAAACAGGCTGGAGGGGTTCCGCATAGGCAGCATTTGGGCCTCGTACATACACATACATTTGGGAAGCGCGCCGGGTCTGGCCCGCCGGTTTGTTGATTCCTGCGTGTTAGAATAGGGTCGCGCCTTGGGCATTGCCCCGGGCCGAACCGCTTATTGATGGATACAACACCGGGAGGATGAGTCCAGCATGAGTACCGAGCAAGAAAGCCGCGAGGGACCCCAGTCTGTAAAGGGCCCCCGCATTAACAAGGGCCTGGTAATAGTCAATACCGGCAATGGCAAAGGCAAGACCACCGCCGCCATGGGCGTATTGTTCCGAGCCTGGGGCCGGGACATGCGGGTGATCATGCTCCAGTTCATCAAGCACACGACCGCCAACTTTGGTGAACAAAGAGCCGCCCAGAAGATCGGCGTGAGCATGCGGGCTATGGGTGACGGCTTTACGTGGCGTTCGAGGGACCTGGACCAAAGCGCCGACCTGGCCCGCGCCCTTTGGGAGGACGCCAAAGAAATCATTGCTTCCGAGGAGCATGACCTGGTTGTCCTTGACGAATTTACCTATACCATGCACTACGGGTGGATTCCCACGGAAGAGGTTATAGAGACGCTAAAGAACCGGCCAGAAATGATGCACGTCATCATCACCGGCCGACACGCTCCGGAAGCCTTGGTCGAATATGCTGACCTGGTAACCGAAATGAACGTGGTGAAGCACCCTTATCAGAGCGGCATTAAGGCCCAACCCGGAATCGAGTTCTAGAGTTACTTGAGACACAAACCATAGCTTTCCCCGTTAACCGGCAAGCATTCAGAAGGAGAGCCATGACCATATCCCCACTGGTAGACATGACTGTGGAGAGCATCTCTCCCCTGGACGAGGAGGCGATGGCTGCTGCTAGAGCCCGTCAGGACACCCTTACCAAGCCCCCGGGCAGCCTGGGTCGGCTGGAAGACCTTTCCATAATGCTGGCCGGCATGTTCGGCGACCCAATTCCCAGAATTAACCGTAAATCCGTGATTCTGGCCGCTGGCGATCATGGTGTGGTAGCCGAAGGGGTCAGCGCCTATCCGCAGGAAGTCACGCCGCAAATGGTCTTTAACTTCCTTAGAGGCGGGGCTGGCATAAATGTGCTGGCCCGGCAGGCCGGCGCAGAAATCGTGATTCTCGATGCTGGTGTGGCCGCCGACCTGGAACCCCATCCCCTGTTGCGGTCGGTCAAGGTGGCTTATGGCACCGCAAACATGGCGGTGGGTCCGGCCATGACCAGGGAGCAGGCCATCCGTTGCCTGGAAATTGGAATCGAAGCCGCCAGGGAACAAATCGGCGAGGGAGCCGACCTCATTGCATGCGGCGATATGGGAATCGGAAACACCACTGCTTCCAGCGCGATTACTTCGGTCGCTACCGGCGCCGACCCTTCAATTACTACCGGTAGGGGAACCGGCCTGGACGACCCCGGCCTGGCTCACAAGGTAGAAGTGATCCGGCGAGCTATCGAAGTCAATAAACCGGACCCTCGCGACGGTTTGGATGTGTTGACCAAGGTCGGTGGCCTGGAGATCGGCGTTTTGGCCGGAGCCATGCTGGGGACGGCCGCCAGCCATCGCCCGGTAGTAGTGGATGGGTTCATCTCCGGGGCCGCCGCCCTGATTGCCTGGCTGATCTCTCCGACGGCGAGGGACTACTTCATCGCCGCCCACCAGTCAGTTGAGCCTGGCCATCGGGTGGGTCTGGATGCCATGGGCCTGACGCCGTTGTTGGACATGGGCATGCGGCTGGGCGAAGGTACCGGCGCAGCGCTGGCCATGCACCTTATCGAGGCCGCTGCTCTCTGCCTGGCGGAAATGGCTACCTTCGCTGAAGCTGGCGTTTCGGAACGCAGCGAGGATGAAGAGTAGGGGGCTTGGGCTGGGAGTGCCCGCCAAGTTGGCAAGCCCAGGCTTCATGTAGCTTGAGTTCCCGGCCTTTATTGCCCATCCAGCAAGACAAAGGTAGGAATAGTTGGCGTCTTTATTGGCGGCCCTGAGTTTCCTGACCATTTTCCCCGCCCGCCGTCGGGCGGACGTAACCCAGCAGATTATCAGCAACTCTCGGGCCTGGTTTCCGCTGGTCGGCCTGTTGCTGGGGCTTGTGCTGGTCGGAACGGAATGGGTACTCAGCTACGCCTTTCCCATTTACCTTACTGCCGCGGTCCTCGCAGTCCTTCCTATCGTGATTACGCGTGGTTTCCACCTGGACGGCCTGATGGACACATGCGACGGCCTGTTTGGAGGAGACACGCCGGAGAGGCGACGGGAAATCATGCGGGACTCCCATGTGGGGGCCTTTGCCGTTGCCGGCGCCGGCGGCATTTTGCTCCTCAAGTACGGAGCCATACTGTCCCTGCTTTCCCTGAACCTGCCAGGAAAAGAATGGGCGTTACTGCTGTTCCCCGTGTTTTCCAGATACACGATGGTGTTGCAACTTCTGGTTTTTCACTACGTTCGTACGCCTGGCCTGGGGTCGCCGTTTCACGGAGGCGATGCTCGTTTGCCCTCCGCAGTGGCGGCCATAATATCGGTTGTTGCGGCCCTCGCGTTGGGAGGCATAGGCGGGATGCTCATACTGGCCGGTGTTTGCCTTCTGGCACTGTTATTGGGTCAGGGAATAGTTAGAATGGCTGGGGGAATGACCGGGGATACCTACGGCGCGACCAACGAGGTGTCAGAAGTGGTGGCACTTATGGCCTCGGTAGGTATATTGCCATTCGGGTTGCTGGGGCCGGTGACGTGGTGGATTCTCCCCCATTTGTGATACTACGGTATCGCTGCAAGAACTTTGAACCATGCTCCAACTTCCTGCATTCTTGACCGATGTACCATTGGATCTCTGGGTACTCATCCTGGCGGTCTTACTGGACTTAGTGGGTGCGGGAGTTGCCTGCCCCGCTTCACCCCACCGTGTGGATTGGTCGCACGGTCAATTGGGCGCAACGCAAGGCGCCCCGAACGAAGGTTGGCGGGTTGACTGTTGGCACATTAATCGCTTTGGCGATTCCCGCCTTCTGGGCCGCTGCAGCCTGGTTTACCGCCTGGGGACTTGAGGAAATTCATCCGGTGGCATACCTGGTTGGAGGTGCGGTCTTGCTTAAGACCACCTTTGCTGTCGGAATGCTCCACCGGGTGGCAGCCGAAACTCGCACCCTTGTAAATGCCGATGATTTGCCCGCCCTTCGCCAGAATATGCGGTCTCTGGTCAGCCGCGACGTGTCCACAATGACGACCGGTCAGGCGATCGCCGCGACTGTGGAGTCGGTGTCGGAAAATACCACCGACAGCTTCATTGGCCCCTGGCTGGCCTTTGCCCTGTTTGGACTGCCCGGGGCTTTCGCATACCGTGCTATCAACACCCTTGATAGTATGATAGGCTATCATGGCGAGTACGAGTACCTGGGTAAGGTGGCCGCCCGCCTCGACGATTTAATCAACCTGGTTCCGGCTCGGCTGACCGGCCTGTTGGTAATCATGGGCAGTGCTGTTCTGCCGGATCAGAGCCCCGGACGGGCCTGGCGCATCATGTGGCGCGACCACTCCCGTACTGACAGCCCTAACGCAGGCTGGACCATGAGCGGCATGGCCGGCGCGTTAGGCGTTGAACTGGAAAAGGAAGGGCACTACCGGTTGGGTGACTCCGCGCGACCCCTGGAGTCGGCTGACATCACCCGGGCCGTTCAGTCAATGTACTGGGTGGCGGGCCTCGGACTATTTATTGCCGCAGCCATTATTCTATTGACCTTCGGTATTCTCCGTTAAATGAGTCAAAGCTCCACGCAAATGCACTCGTCTGCCAGGCCGGTCCACGGCGGAATTCGGCCGGCTCAACTGCGGGCACTGGGACTGGACCCCGGGGATGTGGTGGACTTCAGCGCCAGTGTCAGCCCCCTTGGCCCCCCTGCCGGATTGTGGGAAGCCTTGCAGCAAGTCGACCTGACTGCCTATCCGGACCCGGAGTGCCTGGAGCTTCGGGAGGCTCTGGCCAATTACCACCATACGAATATCGACCGGATCCTGGTGGGTAATGGCTCGACCGAGTTGATACACCTGCTGGCTCGGGCATTCATTTCTCCTTCAGACAGAGGCGGCTCCGGATCATGCTTGCTACTAACCCCCACCTACGGCGAATATGCTGGCGCCTGCAGGCTGGGCGGGTCTGAGATACTGGAAGTTGTTGCCCGTCGAGAGGCCGGCTTTGCCTGGGATCTGCCTGAAGCCGAGGCGCTCATCCTCTCAAAGCGACCGGCGCTGGTATTTGCCTGTAATCCCAACAACCCCACGGGCGTATACCTCCAAGAGGAAGAGGTATATGGGCTGGCTCAGGCTGCGACAAAGGCGAACAGCATCCTGGTGCTGGACGAGGCTTACCTGAACTTTGTGGAAGAGCGTTGGGATGCTCTCTCGTTATTAGAAGGGGAAACCGCACAGAATGTTGTTCTGCTCCGGTCAATGACCAAAGACTTTGCTTTGACCAGCCTGCGGTTGGGCTACTGCCTGGCAAGTCCCGAGGTTACTGCCTCGCTGGCGGCGCTTCAACCGGACTGGAGCGTCAACGGTCTGGCCCAAGCCGCCGGTCTGGTGGCTATGGCTGACGGGGACTATCTGCCTGCCGCCCGTAAGGCAATACACGACGCCAAAGCTTATTTGACCAGGGAGTTTACGGGGCTGGGGTTGCAGGTTCTTCCGTCTGCGGCCAATTTCCTTCTAATATCGGTTGGCGATGCCTCTTCGTGGGGTGACAGACTGATGCAGCAAGGAATCTTTGTGCGCGACTGTACCTCTTTTGGTTTACCCGACTGCATACGCGTAGGCATCCGGGCCATGCCCGACTGTCGGAGATTGGTAGCAGCGGCGAAAGGCCTTACGGAATAGCGACTTCAACGCCGCAGGACAGAATGTTTAGGGCTGTTGCTGTTGCCTAAGACAACACCAACTCACATCGGTTACCGGTAAATTCAAGCACGGCAGTTACGAGAGGACTGATACCAATGGCAACCATCTACATCGTGCGCCACGGCGAAACAAAGTGGAATGCCGAGGGCCGGATCCAGGGCCACACCGACATTGAATTGTCCCGACCGTGGTCGTGAGCAAGCCAGGGCCGTAGCTCGTCGGCTTTCGGGCACCGACTTCGATGTTTCGTATTCCAGTGATATGAGCCGGACGCGGGACACCGCGCTAACGATTTTGGGTGAGCGGGTAACACCCCTTAACTCTGTTCCCGAGTTGCGGGAGTATAATAAAGGCGTTTTTGAGGGCTTGACGCCCGAACAGTTCCGGGAAAAGTACCCCCACCTGTTCGAGGCTTCCCTGGTTAACGACCCCGACTTTGCCCCTCCTGGCGGCGAAACGATACGCCAGTGTCAGGCTCGTTTATCCGGCTTCATCAGAACTTTAAAGAGCAGTCATCCGGAAGGCAACGTATTGATCGTCGGGCATGGCGGGTCCCTGCGCAGCGGCATTGTTGCATTGCTGGATTTGCCGTTGGAGGCCAACTGGAAGTTCGTGATGCACAACTGTGCCTTGTCAATAATCCGCACTTACGAGGACAATGCGGTAATGCATCTATATAACGATTCTTCCCACCTGGGAGGTATCGCTTAAGCGTCCCAATAAACCAGGCGTAAAGGGAGCCAATGGGGTTATTCTAAGATAACGTTTAGCTTTGGCGGCGGATGATTATGATGTTATCCGATTTGGATCCCACGGAAGTTATTCGGAGACTGAAAAGGGCGGGCTTCGTTTACAGCCGAAAGGCCAGGGGCAGCTACGAGATTTGGGTACACCCAATGAGCGACCGACGTCTCGTGATCCCACCCCAGGGCCGAGCATTTTCTCCGAGTACCATCCGGTCCATCATCAAGCAAGCCGGGCTAACCATGGAAGAGTTTCTCAGGCTTTAGTTGCGGCCAGCAATCATTTCCGCCTGCGACACAGGAAGTAGTTGAGGCTCTCGTATGCAATGGAGTAATCATTGACCAGCCATCCTGCTAACCCTCTGGGCAAAGTCCTGATGATCCAGGGAACTGCATCCCATGTTGGAAAGAGTGTTCTGGTGTCGGCGCTTTGTCGGATTTTCCGCCAGGACGGGTTTCGCGTCGCGCCATTCAAAGCTCAGAATATGTCCAATAATTCCTATGTCACCCGGGACGGCGGGGAAATTGGACGGGCCCAGGCAGTGCAGGCCGAAGCTGCCGGAGTTGAAGCGCGGGTGGAGATGAATCCCGTCCTGCTTAAGCCCGAAGCCGACCACATTGCCCAGGTGGTGCGCATGGGCCGACCAATGGTTTCCGCCAGGGTTCGGGACTACTTCGCCCTTAAAGCCCAACTCTGGGAATCGGTGCATACTTCCCTGGACGCACTTCGCGCCGAGTACGACATCGTGGTTATCGAGGGCGCTGGCAGTCCGGCGGAGATTAATCTCAAGGCCACCGAAATCGTTAATATGCGGGTCGCTTTATACGCCGGGGCGCCGGTGCTGCTTTGCGGCGACATCGATCGGGGAGGGGTTTTCGCTGCCCTGGTAGGAACCCTGGCACTCCTGGAGCCGGAAGAAAGGGAAGTAATCAAGGCGTTCATCATCAACAAGTTTCGCGGTGACGCCAGCCTACTCACCGATGGGCTGACAATGCTGGAAGAACGGACTGGGATCCCCGTCGCAGGCGTGGTGCACCACTACCGGGACATCCACATTCCCGAAGAGGACTCGGTGGCGTTGGATATTCCCGTTCGTTCAAACGCCTCAGGCAACGATCCCGCATTGGACATCGCAGTAGTCCAATTGCCCCACATATCTAATTTCGACGATTTCGACCCGCTGGCCCGCGAACCTGGAGTAAGATTGCGGTATGTGACCAGCGCCGCAGAATTTGGTCGCCCCGACCTCGTTATCCTGCCCGGCAGCAAGACCACAATCCCAGACCTGGCCTGGCTGGAAGCTCAAGGGTTATCCGGTGAGATTCATCGCAGGCATCAGGAGGGGGCATCAATCATAGGTATTTGCGGCGGATACCAAATGCTGGGGACTCACCTGTACGATCCGGAAGGCATAGAGTCGGCGGTCCCTGAAATGGATGGTCTGGGCCTGCTGCCTCTAACAACGGTCTTCGCCGGTTCCAAAGAAACTCACCGGATCCGCGGCGAAGTATCTGAGGGCACCGGACTGCTGAATGGCGCCACCGGAGCGCCGCTTACCGGATATGAAATCCACATGGGCAGGACCTCTGGAGAAGAGCTTACGGCACCCTTCCGAATTGAAGACCGAAGCGATGTACCGGTAACATCAGCCACTACCCATGATGGTGCAATGGATGCAGAGGGTCGTGTTCTCGGCACCTACATTCATGGCCTTTTTCACAACGGCGCTATCCGCCGGGCCATGCTGGTGGAACTTGCCCGTCGCAAGGGGGTCAATCTTCCCGACGCACCGCAACTGGGGGCGATGGACGGCGAGTTTGACAAGCTGGCCGACTGGGTGAGGGGCAGCCTGGATATGGACCTTATTTACGCCGTAACCGGCCTGGACCGAAACTTTGACCGGGCCGGTATCTAGTTCGGTGGTGTCTCAACTTACTCTGGTTCTTGGCGGGGTTCGCTCGGGAAAGAGCGCCTTTGCCGAGAGCTTGATCGCGCAAACTGATGCCCCGGTGGATACCCCGGTCCTGTACCTTGCCACGGGCCAGGTGACTGATGAAGAGATGGCCGAGCGCATTCGCCTCCATAGAGAGCGCCGTCCACCCAGTTGGCGAACCCTTGAAGAACCATTGGAACCTTCAGATGCTTTGTCCCAAGCGCTTGAGGCCGGCACTTCGAGCCCCTTAATCTTGCTGGACTCTCTGGATGTCTGGGTTGCTAACCTGCTTCTGACCCATGAAGGGGAAAACAATACAGCGATAGAGGCTATCGCATTGGCGGAACTGGAAAGACTATTGGAGACTATCAGAGAAGCCAACACAGGGGTTGTCGTAGTCAGCAGTGAAGTAGGTCTCAGCCCGGTTCCGCCTAACCGGTTGGGCCGTCAATTCCAGGACTTGCTTGGGACGGTTAACCAGCATGCAGCGTCCTACGCGGACCTCGTGTACCTGGTTGTGGCAGGCATGCCAGTTCGAGTAAAGCCCCAATGATATAAGGTACTCTTTTATTAGGCTATAATAAGAAGCCAAGGTCGCAAACGAGGGATTCCTATGGAGCACAAGTTCGTCCTTACTGACTACCTCAAAGAGGCTATGGCCCTGGCTGTTTATGAGGACTTGGAAGAAGACGGTTTTGCCGGAAGGATTCCTCCATGTGCGGGTGTAATAGGGTTTGCACCTACCTTACTTGAGTGCAAGCAAGAGTTGCGATCAGTTCTGGAAGATTGGATGCTCTTGGGATTCAGGCTTGGACATGACCTTCCAGTGGTTGATGGGATTGATTTGAATCTCGAGGCAATTAGTGAACCGGTGGAATCCCTGTAGGTGACGAGACTTAATCCGCCGTCTAAGACAATTGGGCTTTGAGGGACCTTATTCAGGGTCGCGCCATCATCAAATGGTTTACGGTAGTTGGAGACTAGCGATTCCCTCAGACAATGAGTTTCCAGTCCGCCTGCTACGTATAATCCTTCGAGAAGTGGAGACGATCATCGGGCGGAATATATCAGCGGAAGAATGGAATGCCTTGGACTAACAAAGCTTGGCCTCACCTGTTAGACACTATTGGTTCACATTGAACGAACCTGCCTCCCCCAATTCTGAGACTCATGGATTTGAATATTCGCCAACCCCCGTCGGCGCAGCCACAGTACGCGCACCCGGGGTGTGCGGTGAACTGGCCCAGGGGATGCTGGGCGATTCATATTTCCTGGTGACCTGTCCGGTTGACTTCTTTTCCCGAGTTCGCGTGGAGTTATTCAGCGACTCTACCGGGATAGACGCCCCCTCCGACTGCCCCAAGACTGCGTCCGCGATAGCTAATACACTTGCATTCCTGGGTTGTTCAGAGCTGGGGGCCAGGGTTGCCGTGAGTAATCCTATTCCTCGCAGCAAGGGATTTGGCAGCAGCAGCGCCGACCTGGCTGCTGCTATATCCGCCACTGGCCTGGCTCTAGGGAAGGAGTTGACCCCCTCTCAGATTGGTGCGCTAGCCCTTAGCATCGAACCCACCGACGGAATCATGTTCCCCGGTATTACTCTTTTCGACCACCGCGACGGTACCCTGGCTGAAGAACTGGGCTCCCCCCTTCCCATGGAAATCGTAGCCCTGGATTTTGGTGGGAAGGTTGACACGCTGGACTTCAATCAAACGGACCGGCGGAATCAATGGAAGGCCGTCCGAGCGGAGACTGATGAGGCACTGGAGTTGGTGCGTCAAGGCTTGCAACAGCGAGACGTCCGTCTTTTGGGAAAAGGCGCTTCACTGAGCGCGGAGGCGGCCCAGCAGGTGCTTTTCAAGCCGCGTCTCCCAGAAGTCAAAACTTTTGCCCTTGAGGTTGGCGCGGTTGGGGTCAACGTAGCTCACAGCGGCACAATTATCGGTGTGCTGCTGGATGCAACCGAGCGGCGAGGAAAGTCGGTTTTCCGGCAGGTACGGCAAGCATTTCCAGATGCCGAGGCTATCCATCACTTGCGTTTGCTTGGCGGCGGGGTCCAAGCAGTTTGACCGGCGTAAATACGTAATCAGCTTTAGGGTGTCTTAAGTGGTCTTTTTGCCATCTGATTCATGGAAGGAACAATAACCAGCGGAGGAAACATTAGCTATGGCTGAGCATAACCTGGCAATCATCGGCGGTGACGGTATTGGCCCGGAGGTAATTGACGAGGGCAAGAAAGTGCTGGACTATCTGGCCGCAAATACCCCCGGCCTTACCTTCAACTACACAGAGTTTCCCTGGGGTTCCGCCTATTACCGCGAGACTGGGCGAATGATGCCCGAGGACGGGTTGGACCAGGTCTCCGCCAACGAGGCCATCCTGTTCGGCGCCGTGGGAGACCCGGACATTCCCGACCACATCACCCTTCAGGGGTTGCTGCTGCCGATGCGCCGGGCTTATGACCAGGGTGTCTGCGTCAGGCCAGCTTACCTCCACCCGGGGGTAACTTCTCCCCTGGCAGGCAAGAGTGCTGGCGGGATCGATCTGGTCATCTTCCGTGAGAACACTGAGGGCGAATACGCGCCCGTGGGAGGTCGCCTTTATCCGGGCACGCCTCACGAGACCGTAATGCAGACCAATGTTTTTACCCGACGTGGCACCGAGCGCATCATCCGGGCCGCTTTCGAGTATTGCGTCCGTCGCAACAGGCGGATGAAAGTGACTTCGGTTACCAAGTCCAACGCCCAGGCATTCGGCATGGTCTTCTGGGACGAGGTATTTCAGGTCGTTGCCGCCGACTACCCGCAGGTGGAAACCGAATCCCTGCTGGTTGACCGGGTTGCGATGGACCTGGTGCGTTGGCCCGAGGACTTTGACGTAATGGTGGCCTCCAACCTGTTCGCGGACATCATTTCGGACATTGCGGCGGTTGTAACGGGCAGCATGGGCCTGGCGCCCAGCGCCAACATCAACCCGGAGCGCGAGTACCCCTCCATGTTCGAACCGGTGCACGGCGCCGCCTTCGACATAACCGGCAAGGGAATAGCCAACCCATTGGCCACCATCTCTGCGGTGGCCATGATGCTGGACCACTTGGGCGAAGCAGAATCATCGCGAAAGGTAGATGCGGCGGTTGTCCGCAGCCTCCAGGAACGTAAGGTAATGACCCCGGATTTGGGCGGCACAGCCACAACATCGCAGGTGGGTGATGAGGTGGTCAGGTTGTTGTGGGAGGGGTAGGGAAAAGCACAGGCAGGTTGGTTACTTGTTCTTGCAGGGCAGTTGAAGGAGTTGAACTGCTGAAAAACGGACCGGACTATGAATGGCCTGTAAAATATCGATGGAGAACACAGGAAAAGAGAAAAGAGTTATTGGATTGCAGGTTACAAGAGCCGTTTGGACTTAAATGAGAACAGGGGCCCTCTTTCGGGCCCCTTTCTTCTTGTATCCCTAAACAGAACCCAGCACCACCTGTACTATCTTCTTTTCCAGGGCCAGGGCCAGCTGACCGGTCAAGTCCAGACGGTCGTGGTTGCCTACTGAACCAACGAAGGCCACGCCCAGGATACGGCCAACCCTGAAGTCAATGACCGTGGAGGAAACCACGCCCTGCGGGCCACCTTGCACTGCCTTTAGCGCCACGGCCTCGTCGAACAAGCCCTCTGGTTGCAGGCGGTCTACGGAAATAAGCTGGTGGCCTTCCCCGACGCTCTCCCCCACATTGCTTTCAAAGTCCTTCAGAAAGACTTCGTGCATCCAGCCCGATACCGACTCCGAAGTTTCGAAAAGGTGGGCCACGGTGGAGCCCACAAAATTGAAGCCATCGAAGACGTTCATATCCGACGTTGGCCCAAATTCGCGCATGTAGCCGGTTATTCGCCCTGCTTCGCGGAATCGCACGGCGGTGCTGCCCGAAAAGCCATGGGCTGCCATGTTCTCGTTATCCAGAACGCCCACCCTTACCTGCTGATAATCCGCAAATTCCGGTGGTAAATCTACCTTGTCGAGGACCATGTACTCCAGGTCCTGGTCCGAAACTCGATAAGTGGCGCGTTCCAATGCTGCGGATGTCAATCGGGACCTCGCTTTTCTCTAGGAGTTGGTTCTAAGAAGAGCGCTCAGCTGGCCTGGCGATTCAGAATTGTGAACCGCCTTCGTCCCCCTTTCGCGCTCTTCAATAAAGTTAAGCTGCTGTTTAGCCGCAAACCATGGGATATACGTGGCGACCACGGGACATTTCACCTGGCACCTGGCTCTTGTTCCAAGTCTCGCCGCCGTCCTTGCTTCGGAAGACCAGGCCGTCCCGGTCGGTGCAGTAAACATGTGATGGCGCCTTAGGATCTATGGCGATCTGGAACATTCGGCTGGGGGCCATTTCGCCCAGGTCAACCCGTTCCCAGGTCTCTCCGGCGTCGCGGCTGCGGACCAACACTCCGGCTTCCACGGTACCCTGAGGGGCGCTGCCGCCGCCGGCGCCAGCGGCCAGGTACATTGTATTTGGATCGTCGGGGGCCACCACCAGGTCCCGGCAATAGCTGCCGCCGGGGAACATCTCGTCAATGTCGACGAACTCCCAGTTGTTCCCCGAGTTGCGACTGCGGAACATGGCCAACTGGGTGATGATGTAAACCAGTCCGGGTGCTTTGGGGTTAACCTGCACCCCGTGCAAATCCACGGGCCCGGTGCGGGTGTAGTGACCGTCAGTGATGGACTCCCAGTTTTCGCCGCCATCCCGGCTGGCAACCAGGCCGCCCACTTCAATGGCCCCATAGACGTCCTGGGGATTATGAGCGTCAATGGCCAGGCCGATAACCCTCTTGCAGATCTGGTACGGGTTCATAGTAATGTGGGGGAAGCTGATGTCTTTGGTGTTGCCCTTCTTCCAGGTGGCACCACCATCATCGGAGCGGCAAATCGTGCACCCGTCGTATCCGGCGTACATGACGTTCGAGTTCTGGGGATTAACTGCCAATGACCAGACGTCACCTTCGGGAGAACCGGTGGCTTCCCAGTGTTCGCCCCGGTCGTCGCTGCGGTAAACTCCTGCTTGGGTGCCCGCGAATACCACGGATGGATTCCCCGGGTGCACCAGCAACGCCCGTATTTGCGGCTCTTCGGGCAATCCCTTGGTAACACTTTGCCAGCCGTCTTCTCCCTCAGCCTGGCGGTACAGTCCGCCGCCGCCCAAAGGTCTTGGTTCGCCGATGCCCGCAATCAGCGGACCCTCTCCGGCTATGCCTACATACAGATGGGTTCGATGTTTCTCGGTAGTCATGCTAGCCCTCCCCTCTTTTTTTCCTTTTATTCGACTTGGCGACCTCATTTCCATAGGGTCACCGCTTGGCAATGGCGCGTATTTTCCCCATGGATTGTTCTGCTAATCGCCTTCCTTGTCAAGAGGTGTGGCAACTGACGGCGGTCTGCGTTAGTATGTAGTGCAGATTGTCTTCCAGGAGCGAACCCAGATGAAGAACAAGATCTATCAGACTTTTGACGAGGCAGTGGCCGACGTTCCCGACGGCTCAGTGTTCATGTCTCCAGGGTTCAGTGGCGTGGGTGTACCTCGCAACTTGCTGGCAGCCCTGCATCGCCAAGGCGCCAAGGGACTTACCGGTATATCCAATAATTGCGGGAGCCTTGACGAGAAAGTAGACGTGGGCACGTTGATCGAGGCCGGCCAGGTCAAGAAGATGTATGCTGCCTTCACGTCTCCGACGCATCCCTCCCAGATAAGTCCATTTGTGCGCATGTACAACGATGGGGAAATCGAAGCTGAAACGGTTCCCCAGGGGACCCTGGCCGAGCGCATTAGGGCTGCCGCTTCCGGCATTGGCGCCTTTTATACTCCGGCCAGCGTGGGGACTGAATTGGCAGAAGGGAAGGAACATCGAGAGATTAATGGCCGCACCTACGTTCTCGAGACTCCTCTCCATGCCGATTATGCTTTGATCCGGGCATTTAGGGCAGATACGTTCGGCAATTTACAATTCCGGCTGACCCAGCGAAACTTCAACCCAATTATGGCCATGGCGGCGCGGGTCACCATTGTTGAAGTGGAGGACGATATCGTCCCGGTTGGGGAACTTGACCCCGACAAGGTTCACGTTCCAGGCGTATACGTAAATAGGCTGGTCAAGATTCCGCCTGACGGCATTTTTGACTAGGCAAAATTCCCAACCCCTTATCGAGACTGCCTCAAGGAGGAACCGGCATGGCAACAGAGAAGCCCAAGCTGCAACGCCAGGCTATGTGCGACCGCTTGGCCATGGAGTTTCAGGACGACTGGATTGTGAATCTTGGCGTTGGAATGCCCACTCTGTGCTCCAACTACGTTGATCCCTCTAAAGACCTGATCTTTCACTCCGAGAACGGAGTTATTGGCTACGGTCCCCTGGCCCCGCCGGGAGAAGAGGACAAACACCTGGTCAACGCCGGTGGGCAGAATGTGGTCGCCTTGCCCGGAATGGCTATTGTGCATCACGCCGATTCCTTTGCCCTGATCCGCAGCGGAATGGTGGACGTGACGGTTATGGGGGCCTACGAAGTGGCTGAGAATGGCGATTTTGCCAATTGGCGCATTCCAAATCGCAAGGGTGGCGGCATCGGTGGCGCCATGGATCTGGCGGCCTGCGCCAAGCAGGTCTTCATTGCCATGGAACACACGACGCGGGAAGGCAAACCCAGGATGCTGAGACGGTGCGCCCTACCCATTACTGCTCCCGGCGTGGTAACCCTGGTGGCCACAGACCTTGGCTTGTTCAAGGTGACTCCTCAGGGCCTCGAACTCCGCGAAAACGCACCGGGCTGGTCTCCGGAAGAAATACAGGAACTGACGGAAGCCGAACTGATAATTGCGCCAGACTTGAAGGAGTTTCGGTTCAGGGACTAGGGGGAGATCTGCGTTTATCCCGTGCCGTAAGAATGGGCTCACCGCCTCGGTAAGCCCATTCATCCTTCTAACCGACAGGGAACCAGTGTCGCGAAACTTTTTGAAAGCCCGATCCTGGCAGTTTGACAGGCCCTGCCTCCGTGCAATGTCCTTAAATAATGCTGATGACCTAG